CCTGCTCCCGATCAGGTATGAGCTAGCAGAACTGTTGCTATGACAACAACTCTCGGATCAGCTTTGAAGAACGAAACGATCCTGGATCATGTCAAATCGTCAATATCCAAATCCAGCTAACTGAGTAATCCACGTACGAAGAACGGACCCCAAGCCTGAAGGACTCAATTAGTTTGATCAGGTGTGTTTAATTAGGGTTGGAACTAAACAGTGCAGAGCTGCGGCCCTTTTGGAACTGAGTTTGACACCTGTGCTTTAGATAAATAGGACTGCACTGAAGGGAAGGCCAAACGTAAATTTTGTTGTATTTTATACAGCGACAATAAAGATTCTGATTCTACTCAAAGGGATTTCTTCTATATAGTAACAGATGAGATATCCTCGAGTATATTAAACTTTAGACATTCTCAAGTACATCAAACATTGATAGCTTAAAAGATTAAAGGCATGCCTGTGTTCAAGGCTGGAATACTGTATAAAAGGCTGGAGCAGACAGACCAGCAGCTCGCTTAACTGACTTCTGTGTACTGAATGTCTTAGGCCCTCTATTGTCAACGGAGGATAATGTAAAGGATTTTGTTTAGTTATTGTGATTGTTTTTAAGTCTTCTTTTTCACTGGATTGTTTACTAATTAAAGTGAACGTGATTTTATTAATTTTCTTCACTGGAGTGGACATTAGTTTCATTTGCAGAACATATCAAGATACCTTGTGTGGTAAGGTATGGATCTAATTTATTCCTTGAAAAACATTACAAAAGACAGTCCTAAACAAAACACTAGCTCCGAAATACAGCCAAGAGAGGATTCTGGTTTCTTTATTTAATTAGGGTATTAAATAAAGGTATCCAGTACAATGTCCTGTTTGTACCCTACTGAAAAAAACACCTTAAACCAGCCTAGGCTTGTTGGCTGGTTTTAGAGGGGTTTTGGACATTTCAGGCTGGTTTCCAGCCTTTCCCAGCCTGGTCTTAGCTGGTCAGCCTGGGAGATGACCAGCTAAAACCAGCTTGACCAGCCTAGCCAGACTGGAAGCCCAGCCAAAACCAGCTATTTCCAGCTTAAATCAGGCTGGTCAAGCTGGTTTTAACTGGTCATCTTCCAGCCTGACCAGCTAAGACCAGGCTGGAAATGACCAAAACTCCTCTAAAACCAGGTCAACCAGCTAATACCAGCCAACCAGCCTAGGCTGATTTAAGCTGGATCTTTCAGCAGGGATAGTGCAAACCATGAGAAATTAGTGGTAACAGTAAATTATAGGCTCTTCATACAAAACTAGCAAGTGAAATGGACATCCCTAAAATTCAAAATCCTTATATATGCGTTAACAACAATTAGCCAAGAGACCGTCAACAAACCATTAACCGTCAAGGTAAACAAAGTCTTTTATATTTCGCAAACAATACCTTAAGTGTGGCCTTCATCATCCAGAAGATAAGAGTGGAAGAAATCTTTTTAACTTCCTTTGAATTCGTTTTCACTGAGAGCACTCTAAAAGTGCTGATTTTACCTTTTGTAATGTTAGCAATAATCACTTCACCATATAAACTTCCCAGTGTTTACACACAGCGCTTTTCCAAGACAACACTGACCTCTACTGGATGGAAGTAGAAGTGTCAGAGATTGGAAGATTTTTAGGTCATCTACAATAATGCGATTTTGACCTGGTTTATTTACTTCATTAATAAGCCAAAAGATAAAGTTAAAGATAAAAGGGGAAAGAAAACACCGGTTCATTCATTCATTTGCCCATGAAAGTCTTATTACATACTACTGTATACACAAATTAAAATCATATCTGTTATATACAGGCAAAATCCTGTGAAATGTGTATTTGTTATGGATTTTTTGGTATATGATATTTATTTATATGAAAATTAAAATAATATCCCTCCTGTGAAATATTTATCCCTGTTCAAATATTATTCAAGTGATATTTAATGTAGCAGGTAAGTTTCATTTTGGCTGGAAAGAAAGCATTCATTAAAAAAAAAAAAAAAAACATTTTAATGTCCATATTATTATCCCCCTTTAGCAATATTTGTTTTGGATTGTCTAAAGAACAAACCACTGTTATACAATGACTTGCCTATGTCACTTTAGGCTGAATACTAGTATCACTAGCTATATAATGATAGAGCCAATTCAGTGGATGGGGATGATTGGGAGGACATGATGGGTAAAAACCGATGGAGTGAATTTGGCCTGGACACTGGGATTACAACCCTACTCTTTACATGGAAATTTTAAAGGGCCATGAAACCCCCTCGTTTCAGCAGGGTTTTTTCACACCTCTACGTTGGGAAAAGTCAGAAAAGTGGGCGTGTCCAGCTCTGTTTAGGGGGCGTGTCAGAGGAGGGAAAGAGGGAAGGTCTGTAAAAATTTGCATAAAAATGGGAGTGTCGGTTTGGGAACGTGCTGATTTTCACAGAGTCAAAACAAACACCCAGACGCAGGGCAGAAAAAACGGTGACTGTGTTTACATGGACATCATTATAGCAGAACAGAACAGTAACAGAAAACAGTAATCAAATTATTTGCCAAATTATTAAATGTTGGCCTTTAACTGCAGTTTAGCTCTTTCATTCAGGAATTTCATTCATGCCCCTCTTGACAAGCAAGGTATTTGATTCGAGGAATTGCTGGAAGCTTCTATTTTTAATACAATGTTTGATACCGCACGGCGAATGAAAGAAAACCTCTGCATTTCACTCAGATGCACTCGGTAGCGTCAGAAAACCTTGCGTGTTATTCTTGTCAAATCCTACACGAGGGTAAGTTTAATAGTGGTGCTTACATGTTTACACTCGGAGAGCAGCATTTACAGCCGATCTTTCAATCTATAATACTGTAGTGATATTAACGTACGGTACACTTTATTAATTTAGAAATCATTTGACTGAGGTCCGTCTTTAAACACTGAAAGAGTACTGCTGACGATACGAACTATAACTTTGCCATCTGAATAAACAAATAAAGAGCACTGGTCGCTCACTTACCAAATCTGTAGAGACAGGAAAATCAACACCAACTGGAGCCGTGTCTTTATTAAAAGGAGACGAGCGGCAAATTCGAATTTCCCCATTTCCAGATGAGACACGCATTTCTGCCGCACGTTGCGTGCACTGTAATCCACACATGAGTCCAGCTGCGCTTTCATAGAGGGAAAATGAAAATTCTATACAAACCGGAAGTACAAATTTGCTTGGAATAACGCAAAAACGACCTATTTTCACTTTTTAGTGAAATATATATGTCCTAATAGTGTTTTTAGCAGCGCGAGACACATACACGACTGTCAACAGCTCAAAACATGTGTTTTGGTGTTTCATGACCCTTTAATGACCAGAGAGAATCGGGATCTCGATTTAACATCTCATCCGAAAGATGTCACCCACTGACAGTATAGAGTCCCCTTCACTATACTGGGGCGTTAGACACAGACAGCAGACTGAGCACCCCCTGCTGGCCTCACTAACACCACTTCCAACAGCAAGCTAGTTTTCCCATTTGTACTCCCATCCAGGAATTGACTTCAGCCCTGCTTAGCTTCAGCGAGATTGAGTCTTGAGTTGCAGGGTAATATGGCTGTAGCATTGTTTTTATTTACAGCACAAAAGCATATCCTCGTAAAACTGTAGTGTAATTGAATACAAAAGTTTTGTGTAAAAATATATATATAATATCACACAGAGGTCAATGAATTGAAACAACTTTATTTCATTATGGTTTACAGGCATCATTTAGAATCATTAAAGTAAACTACAGTGATTTTTACCCCTTAGAATATTTACTGCCAAGAAAATATGACCATATTATATATCAAAAATAAAGAACCAAACCTCTGCTTGATAAAGAGGAAAAAAAGGCATTTATTCTATCTTCATATGTTTATTATATCTTCAAACACAAAGCTGACAGAAATGAAAACAGCTGATGGAGTAGACACTAATCTGCACACTTTTCTGTCACAAAATGGCGCCAAACAGTCAAAAACTAAACATTGACAGAAACAAGAACAGCCGACGGAGTATACACTACCCTGCACATTATTCAGACACAAGATGGCGTCAAACAGTCAAAAACGCAACATTGACAGAAACGATAACAGCTGATGGAATATACACTAATCTTCGCATTATTCAGACACAATATGGCGCCAAACAGTCAAAAACACAAAGCTGACAGCAACGAAAACAGCTGATGGAGTATACACTAACCTGCACATTATTCAGACACAAAATGGTGCCAAACAGTCAAAAACACAAAGCTGACAGAAACGAAAACAGCTGATGGAGTATACACTAACCTGCACATTTTTCTGTCACAAAATGGCGCCAAACAGTCAAAAACGCAACATTGACAGAAATGATAACAGCTGATGCAGTATACACTAACCTGGACATTATTCAGACACAAAATGGTGCCAAACAGTCAAAAACACAAAGCTGACAGCAACGAAAACAGCTGATGGAGTATACACTAACCTGCACATTTTTCTGTCACAAAATGGTGCCAAACAGTCAAAAACACAAAGCTGACAGAAACAAAAACAGCTGATGGAGTATACACTAACCTGCACATTTTTCTGTCACAAAATGGCGCCAAACAGTCAAAAACGCAACATTGACAGAAACGATAACAGCTGATGCAGTATACACTAACCTGCAAATTATTCAGACACAAGATGGCGCCAAACAGTCAAAAACGCAACATTGACAGAAATGATAACAGCTGATGGAGTATACACTGACCTGCACATTATTCAGACACAAGATGGCGCCAAACAGTCAAAAACGCAACATTGACAGAAATGAAAACAGCTGATGGAGTATACACTAACCTGCACACTTTTCTGTCACAAGATGGCGCCAAACAGTCAAAAAACACAAAGCTGACAGCAACGAAAACAGCTGATGGAGTATACACTAATTTGCGCATTATTCAGACACAAGATGGCGCCAAACAGTCAAAAAACATGGCATGACAGATAAGAATATATAAATGAATGTGGGTGTATTTAAAGTTCTGTGAATCTGTGTTATTTAGCAGTTGTTATCTGGAAACAAAATACTTTGTAATGTCGCAACTGACCAATCAGAATCCAGCATTTCAGACAGCCATTTAATAAGTAACGAATAAATTACATCCAGGCAGTTGTTAATGCATTTCATTGCACGGCTGTCTGGAATGCTCGATTCTGATTGGTCAGTCATGACATTGTATGGTGTGATATCCCAAGATAACAACCGCTGAATAACACAGGTTCATATGGGAGCTTTAATAACAAATGCACATTTAATGCACTGTGTTTTGGCTCAGAGCAAAATATAGTGCTTTTTCTCGATTTTGTTTGGTCTCCTGCATAGAGCACAGTTCAGGTCACTCCTTATTCCAGTGCTGTTCAACACATACACAGTTTTACACCAAAGATTATTCTGCTTATCAATTGTCTTGGTTTTAGTGACTCTAAACATCTCATATGGAGGAATCAGCACCTCTTTCTCATGATTAAGCTAGGAATGATTCGTAATATCAGCACCTGCACAAGTGTGAATCTCAAAACAAGACACATTTTTCCAAAAAACGTTGCCTTTTTCCAATCGTAAGTGGAAGATGCAAATGAGCCAAAACGAACAGTGTTGTCGAGAAGTTCAAACTTTAATTTTGTACCACGAAAAGTATCAAAGCATCTATTTTGTGTTGTTTTCAGAATCTGTAAGGCCTCTGTTAACAGAAAGTGAAGTGAATACCAGTCGTATTTCTCAATGGTGTAGTTTTGCCTGCCATGACGAGTGGCATTATTGAAATCACGAAACACTTTATCACCAGTGTACATATAGATGGCAATTAAATGATTATTTGTCAAGTTATTTGTCTTATTCTTAATAGATTCTTCAGCCTCTTTCCAAGCTTTTTTGAAATTAGATTTAGAGTTATTGAGTTCCTTTGGCAGATATTTGGTTTTCACCTGATCTGCCATTTTCTCTGTGCATCCCTTATACTGATCATCAACTGAATTCAATGCCATGTCCAGTGGATATCCAACAGCAGTGACTTTGTGATTCTGCAGTGAGAGGAATCATCATGATCAGATCATCAGTGTTGATATGTGTAATAATATTGATACTAGAACACAAGCTCACCTGTAGAACAGCTACAACGAGGAGAAGAGCTACAATCCTCATCTTTATTCAGTTAAATCCCGGATACAAAGATGAACAGATGCTGAAACACAACAGGATTTCAGATATAGGTGCAGATATTTCAAACTGCGTGATTTTAGCACCGATTTTGGCTCGCCGACAGGTTTTGAGAAATCGCCGACAAATGCCTGAAATCACAGGCAAATCGCTGCTCGTGCACGTGAGTGACAATCACACAGTAGGAACTATCCAAGACGCGATCAGAGAGATTCGCCGATGAGTCGCCGATGCCTGTGAGATATTTGGCGTGCTGAATATCTGGAGCTGTTGGCGATTCAAATCATGCCGTGTGAATTGAGTTTTGACTGAAAATAACATCAGCGATCGCCTACAGCCAATGAGAGAGCAGCATTCACTTGCGTGTGTGTGTATACCTGCTGCAGGCTAGCGGGCGGCTGGGTGAGAAGTTAAAAGCGCTCTTTTTCGGTTTATTTGGACCCACGAAATAGAGAAAAAACTAGTGGAGGTTTGACAGGACTCAGGAGCAACTTTGTCTGTTTGACGTTTCATACAGAAAGAAATTAGTTTAGCAACGTTGAGGAGAAATGGCTAATTCCCTTTAAACCCAGGTGAGCAAACATGTACATGTTCTACCCCATTAAAGGCTTTTTTCTCATTAAGTAGTTAATAACAAAAGATATACGACGTGTTTTTGGCTGTGAGACGTAGTTTGGACGAAGTTGTCGGCGATTCTTCCTATAGTAAAGTCATGCAATGTGAAAGTCCCTGTCGCCGATCCATCTTGCAGTGTAAACAAAGCAGCGACGAAACGCTAGTCCAAATATTCATGCAGTGTGAAAACATCTGTGACACGACTACTTTGAAAATCATGCACTCTGAACTCACCATTAATTAATTAATCAGTTTCCGTATTTAGTGATTCACAAGTGTATTGATGGTTGTGAATTGCATTATGGGATGTTGATCTCTGCTCTGTCGACTTTTGATGTTGAAAATTGAACTCTACAGTTTAACAAAGTGACTTTTATTGACAATTTAAATGTGTGAAATAATACTATAATGTATAAGAATTAATATATAGAGAAGTAAGACAAAAACAATAAAAAATATATATACTGGCTTTTTATTACAGGAGTTTTTAAGCATATGGCCCATTTCCACTGAGTGGTACAGTACTGTACGGTTCGGTACGCTTTTACTTTCCACTGTGAAAAGGGACCAAAAAGCGAACCGTACCATGTACACCATAATTATTTACAAGGCCGTCTAAAGTGCGAGCGGTTTCGTTTTCTTGCGTGTGCTTGCCGCGCTTCTACATTTGAAATAATGAACTTTTTGAGCCCATGGTAATTACGTGCGTGTGATTATTAAAGTGCTTCTGACACCCGATCCTTTCAGAAACGGACAACGCGAGTGAAACGCGAAAAACAAAGGAGAAGCTGGAAAAAAAAATGAAGCAAATAATTCTTTCAGCAACCTAAAACATGAACAAACCGCCATGCTTAATTATTATCATCACCGTTTGGACAAATATGAACTTGAAATTACTTTCTAATAAGGTTAGAAGGTAGGTTACCTGTGCTCTGACTGTGGGTATATGTTGCGTGTTGTTTACGAACCCAAATAAGGACTAAATGCATGCTGTGTGTAGTTTTTCTGTAATTGGGAACAGATCAGAGACTGTAAGGGTCTATATGTGTTCATATATGTTACATTTATTTATTTTATGTAATCGCTGACATTTGGCTATTTCATTGACTATCATTGATCTGCAGTTCATAATCAAATCATGTTTATAGAAAGGTTAGTAATAAATATTTATACACAAGTATTTATGTGTGCAAATAACCCGTGCAGTTTTACTTTGACATTTCCTCCGGCGAGAATGACGTCGACTGAAACTTTCTGTCGTACACCACGCGCACCCTTTTGGCAGTGGAAACGCAAGCTTCCACTCAGTGAAACGGGCCAATATGCAACATCAACCCAGACAATATAGCACTGCAAACTTAAAAATGTTCATAGTTAAAGTCAAAGTCAAAAGTTTTCAGCATTAAAAATATGTTGGAAGAAAGATCAAGGTCCCATAATGCATTTCAAAAGCATAATGCGATATATATATATATATATATATATATATATATATATATATATATATATATATATATATATAGTACAGTATAGTACAGTTATATAGTACAGTTACTAACTTAGTAAGTTTACTGTAAAAAATTTTCCTGAATAACAGTATTTTGCGAAATATCTAGTCAAATACTATGTACTGTCATCATGGCAAAGACAACAGAAAAGAGTAAGAAATTAGACATTAGTTAAAAAACTATTACATTTAAAAATGTGTTGATTTAAAAAACAATTAATATCAGTAATTTTGCAAAAATTTTTTTTCTGCAAAAAATGTATCATCATAGTTACCTGTGAATGTTTCTTTTCCTCGAATTCTCTGTTGTCTTCAGGAACAGTGATGCAAGAACAATCGCTGACAGCCAGACGACAACAATTCTTCAGACTAAGAGGAGATGACAGTGTTAAAGTTGTCTTATATATGACTACTAAATGTTAGTTTGTGTGTGTTTTCTGAGAAATAACACCTAAAGTGTGAAATTGGCGCAAGTAGCTCAGCTAAATTTCTGAATAACCTTCGAAGGGCTTAGGGCTTTGTGGTTTCACACTGGACAAACTGTTTAAGACATAAGAGAAGACTTTTACAAGTTAACAAACGTTTAACACCACATCAGTTGTCCATCAGCAGCTTTGACTATATGTGTCACATTCACCAGCGATCTCTAACCAACAGAGGTCGCTGGAAAACATTCTTACTCACAGAACTACAAATGTGTTTGTAAAAGGACTTCAACTTCATACATGCTCTTCGCCCACACACCTGCTTCCTCATTTAGCTTGATTACTTTCGCACACCTGAGAACTTTCAAAGACTGATTAACACACACTATTTAAGCCACACATTTACTCCTTCTGTTTGCCGAGTCTTGTTTACTGTTAAGTGACATTACAACGCGGTTCTCCCTGTCTTGTTTCTCTGTGTTTGAACTTAGCTTTGTATCCTTGTTATCCTGTTGAGCCGCCAGCCTTTCGACCTATTGCCTGTACCTTGATTACGATTCTGGATTGTCTACATATATCTGTTTGCACCTGAATTGACCATCGCTTGCCTGACTTTGAATAAACCTGCATTTGGATCCTACCTTCTGTTGTTGGTGTCACTCCTCGTCATTACAATATGTGACCCTGGGATGACAAAACTAGTTGTATGATCCATAGGAAAATAGCCAAAAATTCATGTTTTTCTTTTATGCCCAAATAATTACAATATTTAACATGTGAACATTACAGATACACCATCGATACTAAATGAAATGACAGTGGTTTGATGGCTGTATTTGATCATGAATACACCATTCTTGATTGGGCAAATGCAGAACTGGGAATATACATGTATGTGGTTTCAAATCAAAACCTGTGAATGTGCTGATATGACAAATTGTATTTTAATTACCCTCATGAGAAAGAAATCATACAGTTAAAGGGATGGTTCACCCAAAAAAGCAATATCTACCTTTTTTTTTTTGGTTGTGGAGAAGATATTTTGAATGTGACGACCCCAGGATTCCGGTATGGATGTGGCAGATCCTGATTGGGTGCCAGGGTGCCATGGTTGCTCCCCAATTGGTTCAAAGCATATAAAAGCGAGTGTGTGCTAGCTTCTGGAGGACGGTGTGGCTACTTGGCAGTTCTTGCGTTAAGACCATCTCTTTATTTTGGCAACCTTATGGTTTTGTTTGGCATTATTTATATGTGTAATATATATGTGTTGTAGAGTGCAGATACGCACTCTACAACATCAGAAAGATTCGATGCTTCCTATCTGAACATGCAGCTCAACTCCTTGTTCAAGCTCTTGTTCTTTCCAGACTAGACTATTTCAACTCTCTACTAGCCGGGCTTCCAGCTAACTCTATCAAACCTCTTCAGATGCTTCAGAACGCAGCAGCACGAGTGGTCTTCAATGAACCTAAACGAGCACATGTCACTCCACTACTCATCCGTTTGCACTGGCTGCCAGTTGCTGCTCGCATCAAATTCAAAGCTCTGGGGCCTCATGTACGAAGACTTGCGTGGAAATCTTACTAAAACATTGCGTACGCACAAAGCTGTAAATGTGCGTACGCAGAAAAAAATTCAGATGTATGAAACACTGCGTACGCCGAATCCCACGCATATTCTTTTGTACATCTGAATGAACGTGAAACTGAGCGCAACATGCACGAGCACAAAACCCCTCCCTGCCTCCTCCCCCGTATGAATATGCTAATGACCATGCTAATGGAAAAACCCAACGAAAAAGCAATGACAAAAGCAAGCAAAAACAGAAACTTTGAACAGAATGTGAATTGGAGGTGCTGCTTTCGGAGGTAGACCGGAGAAAAGCGGTGTTATTTGCAAGTTTGTTCTCCGGAATTAACAACAAAAGAAAAAATAGAGTGGGAGAGTTTAGCTGATGCGGTTAACACAGTTGGGTCTGAACATCGCACTTAGTGAATAAGAAAAAAATAGTGTGATTTATATCGGTAAAATGTTGCAATGTCCTTTACAGTCTCAGTGGCGCGCTCGTAAGACGCACGTCAACATGTTTTGACACGTTCGAGCATGAACTTGGTTCGAATCCAGCGTCTGATGAACTCTTTCTTCTTTTTTCCCCCGCTACATATCAGATTTTGCCCACTATTTATCACGAGGAAGACAAGTAGGAATCAGTAATAAGTTTGTGCATCATATTTTATTTGCACATTTATTGAATGGAAATGTTTCTGATTCACGTATGCAAATTCATCTTCAGATAGTGTCTTTATAGCAATGTGCGTGCGGTAGATCGCTCAGATTACATTGGGAAAACAGGCGACTGCTGCAAATTGTGCTTTAATGTTTAGCTGGTCAAATGTATGGTATGGAAACCTTATATACCTGCTGAACCCGTCTCATAC